AAACTCGGCAAAGCTCAAGATTCGTGACCAGTGGTTCGGGTTCTCGCGTACGAAGGCTCTAAGGTATTGCTCTAGACACCTGTTTACGCGTTTAGTTTGACCGTCGGTTTGCGGGTGATATGCTGAACTGTAATGCAGGTTTGTGCCTTGAAGTTCAAATAGTGCTCGCCAAAAGTTGCTGAGAAAGACCGGGTCCCGATCAGAGATGATGGTTTTTGGAAACCCATGGAGCTTCCCGGTAGATTCCCAGAATTCTTTTGCAACCCGTACTGCTGTGAAGTTAGCTGGTAAGGGTACAAAGTGTCCTCCTTTCGATAACCTGTCCACAGTAACAAAAATGACACTAAAACCATTAGAGTTAGGTAAATGGGTGATAAAGTCCATGCTGAGGTCAGTCCAGATAGTGTTGGGTGGTGTTATAGGTTGCAGTAGCCCGTACGGGGAATGGTTTTGTGGTTTCACTTTCTGGAAGATCTCACAATGTGTGACAAAATTCCTAACATCTCTCTTCAATCCCTTCCAGGTGAAAACTGTGTTGATGCGTAGGAACGTGTTCTGGACCCCTGAATGTCCCCCTTGCAAGGAGCTATGGAACTCGTGGAGCAGCTTCTCCTTCAGAGTGGATTGTTCCGGAATATAAATTCTGGACTTGTGAAAAAGCAGATCGTTTTTTATTTTCCATGCTTCCCATTTAGTTGGTTCTGTAATAAGGCCCTGGATGACTGCAATAGCGTAGGTGTCTTGCTTTAATTCCTGCTGCAGAATGTGTGTGATGTTGCATGTTGGCCCTGTGATTGTGGCAAACTGGGGGTGAGGTAACTCAGTGCCTCCTTCTGGAAATCGAGACAAAGCATCTGCAGCTGCATTGTCTTTTCCCGGTTTGTAGACAATGGTGTATGAGAAACCCAGAAGTTGTGACAGGAACTGTTGCTGCTCTGGGGTTTGAACGACTTGGTTTATCAGGTGGAACAAGCTCTTATGGTCAGTTCGAATGATGAAGGTAGCTCCTAATAAATACTGTCTCCATTTGGCAACACCACTAGTAATAGCAAACATTTCGCGTATGTAGGTTGATTTCTTCTGCATTGTCGGGGATAGTTTCCTGCTGTAGAACGCAATAGGTCTATCATGCTGCATTAATACTGCTCCGATTCCAACACCTGATGCATCTGTCTCTAAGATAAATGGAATTGAGAAATCGGGTAGAATCAGAATAGGTGCTGTGGTGAGTAATAACTTCAACTTGTCAAAAGCCGCAGACTCCTTGTCTCCCCATTTGAATTCTGTTTTAGAGGTTAAGTCTGATAGAGGAGCAACTATGGTGGCAAAATGTTTTATAAATCGCCTGTAATATCCAGCCAAGCCTAGGAAAGCCCGTACCTGAGTCACGTTCTTAGGTTGTGTCCAATTTGTGATTGAACTAATTTTTTCCGGGTCTGGTGACAAACCTTTCCCAGATATAATGTGGCCTAAAAACTGGATTTTCTCTTTGGCAAACAAACATTTAGACTGTTTAGCAAAAAATGAGTGTTTCCGTAGAGTGGATAAGACCGTCAGTAGGTGTTCCTTGTGTGCATTCAGTGTTGCGCTGTATATTAAGATATCATCAAAGAAAATTACCACAAATTTCCTTAAAAATGCTGAGAAAACCTCATTCATAGTAGCTTGGAAGGTAGATGGTGCATTGGATAGCCCAAATGGCATCACGAGGAATTCGTAGTGGCCATGGTGTGTGCGGAAGGCTGTCTTGTGAACGTCAGATGCATCCATGAATATTTGGTGGTAGCCTGACCGTAGATCGAGTTTGGAAAAAATTGATGCTCCATGTAGTTCGTCCAATAATTCGTCTATGGTAGGAATTGGGAACTTGTCCTGCACCGTGATTGCATTTAAGGCTCTATAATCAACGCAAAAGCGCCACGTTCCATCTTTCTTTTTTACTAGTATGACCGGTGAGCTATAGGCGGAATTACTTGGGCGTATTATTCCTTCTTTCATCATCTCTGTGACCAGCTTCTCAATCTCATTTTTTTGGTAATGTGGATACCGGTAAGGCCGTACCTGTATTGGTTTTGTGTTGGGGAGAAGGTGGATATGGTGGTTTGTTGGTCTATGTGGTGGGAGTTTAGTGGGTTTGAGGAATACGTCCTGGAAATTGGTTAGGATGGGTGAGATGGTGTGTGGGATTGTAGGGGTTGGGTCTGTATGTGGGTGGGGAGTTGATGCCGTCATGCACATGAGATAGGCCTGTATTGGTTCCTGGGCTATGAGTTTGTGTAATTGGGAGTTGGTAATTGCGGAAGGTGTTAGACTGGTATTCCCTTGAAGAGTGATGGGTTTGGAGTGGTGGGTAAAGGTCATGGTCAGTGTTTGGTAGTGTGTTAGGACTGGTCCTAAGGTTGATAGCCACTGTATGCCTAGGACAATATCGGCGCCCTGAAGTTCTAGCACAAAAAGGACTATGTCAAAAACGTGTTGATTCGGGAGAGTAATACAAACCTTAGTACACATCCCTTTGCAGCATAGGTTGTCCCCGTTTCCCACTTGGACCTTGAATGGGTTGATGGACTGGATGGGTAAGTGCAAGTGATTTGCAGCGCGTTCTGTAATAAAGTTATGGGTGCTGCCATTGTCTATCAGTATCTGGACAGCTGTGCCTTTAACAGTGCCCGTTAGTCGAAATGCCTTGGTGGAGTGGTGACCAAAGAGGGCATTGAAACTGATTTCTGGATACGCAGGGATGTCCGGAATAGATTCTTCCTCTGTTTCCTCTGCATGCGCAATCTCTTCATCGTCATCTACTAATATGCACATAAAGGTAGAACCTTGTTTGCATTTATGGCCAAAAACATACCGTTCGTCACAGTTGTAACATAGACCCTTTTCTCTTCGTGCCATCATTTCTGTTTGGGTGAGCCGTCGTATTGGTACAGAAGTTGACTGGGGTGTTGGTGGTTTGCCGGGTTGAGTGATGGTGTTAGATTGGTTACGTTGTCCCCACCGTAGTGTGCGATCCTCCGCTTCTGCGAAATTGCGTGCAAGGCCCCAGGCGACATGGAAAGTCTCGGGTAAATGTGCTTGAACATCACTACGCACCTTTGGTTTTAGCCCCGAGATAAACATGCTTTTTCGAAGGCCGTCCGTTATGCTGTGTACTTTACTTGACATAGTTTCGAATGTTGCTTGGTATTCACGGACCGATCCTGTTTGGGTCAGCCGACATAATGCTCCTGCTGGATCCTCATAAACTGTTGGGCCATACCTGCTGATTATGGCTGTCCAAAAGTCTCTCCAGGTTGCAATTAGTCCCTCGCGGGACAGATTGCGGTACCAGCTTAAGGCTGGTGGATCTAGGTGGAAGGCGGCCAGACGGAGCTTCTCCGGTTCTGTGATTGAATAATATTCAAAATACTGGTCCACTGCGAATAACCAGTCTTTAGGGTCTCCCTGGGCAAACCGAAGGAATACAAGGCAGACCGGTTTTGGCTGGTTCGGATATGTACGTGTCGGACCTGGTCCAAGAACGCTACCTGAAGGTTGGTTGTTGCGCTGGGCTTCGAAGATAGCGGTTATTTCGCGCTGGAACTGATCGAACCTGTGGTCTAGTTGCTCCTGGTTGGAGCGTTGCATCTGCATCATGAAGGTTTGCCGGTCCTCATTTGCGGATGTTATGAACGTAGTTAGCCGTTCCTCAACAGCGGTGATCTGTTCTTGCATCTGAGCCATGCGGGTAGTCTTTTCAGCCATGGAGGTAAGTTCAGGAATGAAAGCACCAAAATGTAGGAGGATGAAGGGGTAGTAGGAGAAAGAACGAATCGGGAGGATTGGGAAGAGAGGGAGATAAGAAAATTGTCAAACAACTCTATATCTTTATTGAGGTTTGATTTGCAATATTTAAAGAAAGTGCACATCCTAATCTAGAATTCAAATAACGAAAGTTGTTGAAACAACCAATCCTAAAATTACGAAGGGAAATAACAAATCCTAAAAATAGGGATAGAAATAACTAATCTCCTAATTACAGTTAAGCTGCATGTTTATTGGAATTTAAACCAGAACAATTTGCAATGCTGGGCTTGGATCATGTGAGGTAGTCATCCAAGTGTTTTGGGCTGATCCGCGTGCGTTTGGGTTGTGTCCTGGTGGGCTGGGTCACAATAGTTGCTGGCATTATGGTTAAGCTAAGCAAGCAAGGAAACCGTTAAAGCAAATATGGTGAGCTTACAATTTCACTTCTAATTTGTCGATCTATGTCATCAAAATCTTCCAACTAAACACAAAGGGAATAAGAGCCGCATTATCCAAAAACACTTGATTTTCGAAAGTCTCAATTTCAAAATCCAGCTAAGTAAAATTTGAAGAGAGACAAAGCTCTCCTCACGATTATTAGTTTTTATTTATAATATTCAACTCGAGACTTTATTTAAACAAATTAGCCTTCATATCACTCAGAACAATACACAGTGGTAAAGAACTATCTAATTTAGGAGTTTAAAAACTTATTTTCACTGTGTTGATTTTAATGAAGTGGATATATTTACTATTATTTTAGATTTACCACTCTTACTAAGTTACTATTTAATTGATTATTGTTGGATCAATTTAAAATTAATGATTAAAAATAAAAAAATTAGTTACCACTGATTTTAAATTGAATTAACGAAATGGTGGTATATATGTTAAATAAACAATTTTTTATTCTCAAAATTAAGGTGAACGGCGGACAAGCTTTTATAGCATTTTACGTTGAATTTAAAGTTAATTTAGATTTTTTATTCTCAAAGTTAATTTAGTTTCTATAGTTAATTTAGATACTGTATTTAATATTCATCAAAATATACACACAAAAATATATAAAATTCACGTGAACCCATATAAAAAAAAAAAAGAAAAAAAAATATCAACTTCGTGCATTCTCATACGTATATTTGATGAAGATAAGGTAAACCTTTTTATATATTTTTTATAATTTAATTCCTAAATAACTAAGCTGTGTTCTGTTCACTTTCACTTGCTAGTCTTTTGAAGAAAGAGAGATATAACTTCAATTCAGTTTACTATGCATTGATGAAACACGTACAATTACAGTTCTTAACACTCTCTGCATCATGAAATCTATGATAAAAAATTTCAAAAATTTCAACTTTTCAGGTTGATACTTCTATGCCCCAAAAAAAATCAAAAAATAAAATAAAAATCCCAATTTTTCATAAACACAAATATAGTCACCAAATCTCAGCCACTGAGAAAACCCGCCTTCTGGGATCACGGCCAAGAGCGTAAAGGAACAATTTTTTGGGGCTAAATTGTAGTGGGGTTCCTCTGATTTTTTAATTTTTTTTTAATTTTTTTTATTGAGTATGCATAGATCTGGAGCTGCCATGGCTTGGAACGTGTTCAAGTTCTGCACTGCACTGCGAGGACTGGGCTCGATTATGATACTATTGGTTCTTGGGGTTGTGGGTGTTACTTATTATGCTGTTGTGTTGACTAATTATGGACCTGCTCTGTTACTTGGTGGCCTTGATTCTCTGACTTCCTTGGCAGTGTTAATCTTCTTTCATTGTTTGGTAAGCTTTTTAATGATGATGATGTTGGAAATTTTGAATTTTTCTTGGGAAGTAGTTGGTATAAAAATGTTTTATTTTATTATGATTTTTAGAATTATTAGTTCAAGAGATCAGCAACATATCTTGTGTTTTTGTTTGTGAAGTGAATGGTTATTGTAGTTTGGAATGTGCTTAACTACTTATGAATTTATGATTATGCAGTTGGTTATGTTATTGTGGAGTTACTTTGCTGTTGTGTTTACGGATCCTGGTATTGTTCCTCCTAACTGGAGTCCTGCTGTTGATGAGGAGAGAGGAGAGGCTGATCCATTAAATGAGTTAGAATTAAGTAATTTGCAGTCTGATCCTTCAAATCAACGGATTCGATACTGTCGAAAATGCAATCAGCTCAAGCCAGCTCGATGTCATCATTGTTCTGTTTGTGAGTTTTGGCACACAAAAAGTTTCCATTTTGTATGCTGTATTGAAACAAGTGAGGATAAGTTTGATCTTTTCTGGTTTGATACCAGGTGGACGTTGTGTGCTGAAGATGGACCACCATTGTGTCTGGGTAGTTAACTGTGTTGGGGCTCTAAATTACAAGTATTTCCTTCTTTTCTTGGTATGGACACCTTAGCTAGAAAAAAAAAAATGTTAACTGATTAGTAATTACTCATGTGACCTGCTACTATTTCTCTCTTGCAAGTTGCAATGACTGTAACTTTTGTATCTGTGGAGCTGAGCTAATGATCATGTAATGTCCTTCATATTATGAACACTGTTTCGTAGACTGTTTGTTATTTATAAACTTGTGGTTCTTACATGGTTGTAGATTACTTTTACCATGATTTTAGAAACTGGCTTTTCTTTTGTGTACTTATATATAGTTAGGCAGTAGACTATTGAAGATTTGAAATGCAGATCAAATTTTATTCATTTAGACTTGGATGACACTCATTTTTTGTACTGTTGGGTTGATATTCATATGCAATGGTGATAGTTGTACATTGAAAGTGGAAATTATTTCTGACAATGCAGAGTGGGTAATCAAAATCATCTTCAACATCCCACATTACTTTTGACACCTTAGGAAGTGTAGAACTGGTTTTTCTTCATCGATATTGGTGAATGTCATTAGCTTCCTAAAGTTAGACATTTATTGTATATAGATTATTTGATTGAGTGGTAGTCCCTAGACTTCAATACATAGAACAATAACTCGAGTAGCTAAAATATTTAATACTCTTTGAATAATACAGATTTAAAGCTCAACTACTAAAACCTTTTATTGACAGATAAAGAAGGCTTCTTTATTCTCCATCAGACCTGTGTTAGGGCTAGGTAATTACCTTTTTTTTTTTTGTGGGGGGGGGGGGGGGGGGGGGGGGGGGGTTGTACTGTGAAAAGATATTCCAGTTTTGATAGTTTTATGGAAGTCAAATCATTAGTATAAAACTATGATTGACTTATTATAAGCCCTTATAATCTTCCTGTTACTGTAACTGTATAACATGAATGGTTGTGAATTTGTTGTTTTATTTGTAGCTGCCATATCAAAATACTTGCAGTGATTTTATTATAATGCGAAATCTTTTTGCAGTTCTACACTTTTCTTGAGACCACTCTTGTGACTATATCATTACTGCCACATTTCAAAACATTCTTTAGTGATGGAGAAATTCCCGGAACACCTGGCACCCTTGCCACAACCCTTCTTGCTTTTGGTAAGGTCTCGAAACACAGATTCTTATTTAGTTGTTGGTTTCATATTTGAATTTCTATAACACTGTTCGATTAGCTGCAGTTCTGAACCTAGCCTTTTCCTTGAGTGTCTTGGGATTTCTTGTCATGCACATATCATTGGTGGCGGCTAATACAACCACTATTGAGGTAAACATTTGCATAGCTTTATGTTCTCTTTTTCCTTTTTACTTCAGAAATATGTCTATCTAAACAAAAAATAACTTGTAAGCTCTGTTTTCATGCTACTTGCTTTTATTCCTTTGATTTGGGATAGTATATCCCTTATATATATTTTTTCTGTTTTTCTCCTAGTTGAATGATAGTATTTAATTGCATTAAAATTGCCAATCTTTGATAATGCATGAATTGTTCTGACAAAGAGGTAATTGCCTTTTCTGTGCATTCATGTGCAGTGTGTTCTGAAAATATTACTGTATGCTATGTTATACTTTCTAATTCTTATCCTAATGGGAGAATAGCTTATGTAACATGTACTGTGGGTTCTGATGGAATTTTCTTCCTTCCTGGGAAAAGGCATACGAGAAGAAAACTACTCCCAAATGGCGTTATGACCTTGGTCAAAGAAAGAATTTTGAACAGGTTTGTGCATGTTATATTTTTTTTTCTTTTTAGATGTCCTTTATGGTTGGCTTTAAACCTATTGCATATAAATTCTTTAATAAGTGATTTTAACACAAATTTATAACATTTATATTAACAATTCAAGCGCTAATTATATCTCATCAATGGATGATCCCCGGAATTGGAACTTAAATTCATCAAGTTTTTGACAAGTGACTGCACTTACATCAGTAGGAAACAAACTCTGAGACTCTTTCACTCTTATCTGTATACAATGTAAAATTCTTATCCTGTTGTAGTTCAAGAGTCACAGTTTGTTAAACATCTATCCAATTCTTATCCTGTCTAAGCTTGTGGCATGCCCTGACTTGGGAATAGGACAACCTCCCCTTCCCTTAAATTTCTAACCAAAACCACTCCTATCCTGACTAACGAAGGTGGGGCGAGGGTAATCGTTGTACACAGCCATATGGTTTGGCTGCAATAAATACTTTGGCCAACTGCTATAAGTTTAAGAGATGTTTTAGTTCTTGCACGATTGATTTGACCAAACTACTACTGGCACTGGCACTGGCACAAGCAGTGGATAGAGCATTGGTCTAAGTTTATTATACCAGGCAAAACTACATTCTCTCCTGGACCATTTTTTCGTTAACACTAATCTCAGGTGTGTATGATGGTAAGTGTTGTAAATATTAATATTTTTTATTTATTTGTTATTTGTTGTATTGGGCTTAGCCCATTAGGTCAAGTATTCTAGGTCTTGTATTCTCTATAAATAGAGAACCTTTGTACAAATTATTCACACAATTTAATAATATTTGATAACCCTTTTTCAAGTTGGTATCAGAGCTCTCGATCCTGAGGGCTCTGCTTCCGCGCCTATTGTCTTTTTTTACAAAACCCTAATTTCTTTACCTCTTGCCGTCATCAGCCGCCACCGGAAAAATTTTTCCGGGGACCTTTTGGACCAAGGGGACCACTATTGACCTTCTTTTTCTTCATTCTATCCTTCTATGCAACGTTCCTCCGCCACAAACGACCCAAACACCTCCGACCGCCTTCAACCAGTTCTGTCTTCACCGTTTGGATCCCTTTCCAGCGACTTTTCAACCGCGACCACCCACAGACAGGTGCGCGCTCACCGGACGACCACACCGGAAAAATTTCAGCCGGAGAAGCCTTCCCACGCGCTCTCACGCGCCTCTTCTTTATACGCGAGTGAAGCCACGCGCAGCTGCTTTCTCCGGCGCGTGGAGGCGCGTCCAACGGTGTTTTTGGACCGGACCACCACCATTCTTCTCGTCTCCTTGTCTTCTGTCTGGATGTGTGATTATTTTTCTGATCGGAGGTCATTTGATATTCTGTTTGGTTGTTTTTACTACTGTGTGTTAACTTTTTCAGTGCAGAATGGCCGAAAATGTCAGTGAGTCAATCGTTTCACACACTACACAGTCTGGTGATACCCCACTTGGCCACAATGATCTTCCCAATCTACATCAGAGCTATCGATTTGATGGATCAAACTACTTGTCATGGTCCCAGCTTATTCGCACTACCATCAAGAGTCGCAATAAGATTGCTCATCTTGATGGCCCTGCTCCTGCGAAAAATGACCCGAAATTTGCTGTTTGGGAAAATGAAGATTCCCTTATCATGACTTGGTTATGGAACTCGATGATTCCTGAAGTGGGTCGTCACTGTATGTTTCTGTCTTCTGCTCAGAAGATTTGGGAAACTGTTCGTTCAACTTATTCCTTGAAACAGGATATGGTTGCGCGCTATGAATTGCGCAATAAAATCTTTTCTATGAAACAAGACTCCTCATCAGTGACTGCTTACTATGGTACTTTGAAGGAGTTGTGGACTGAACTTGACCAATTTCAGAGTTTGAAGATGCAATGTACTGCAGATGCTACTGCTTTAGCCAAGGAGGTGGAAAATGAGCGTATTTTTTATTTTCTTGCTGGTTTGAATCCCGAGTATGATCCAATTCGGGTTCAAATACTTGGCAAAGAGACTTTTCCATCCCTTTCTGTTGTTTTCAATACTGTCCGGGGGGAGGAATCTCGTCGGGGAGTTATGATGAACTTTGATAAATCTGCCATGATGTCATCACATGATAGTGCTTCCTCTAAACCCACTGATGGGTCTGCTATGATTTCTACAAAAAAGGATGGCTCTTCTCAAGGGAATTCTTTTACAAAATTTTCTGATGGTGCATCTTCTAGACCCAAGAAAGATGATCGCTGGTGTTCCTACTGTAGAAGTACTGGTCATATCAAGGACCTATGCTTTCGCCTCCATGGAAAGCAAAAAGTCTTAGAGAAGATGGCAAGGATGCGTGGTCAAGCGCATTTTACTTCTTCTGATATAGCTCCTGCACCTAATGAGACCCAACCTGCATTTCGTCAAGATGAGTTGGAACGACTTCGGACCATACTTGATTCTCTGAATAAGCCATCTGGTACTAGTGATTTGGCTATGACTGGTATGAGCTCCAAATTTCTTCTTTTCTTACTTCATGTATTGATTTTAAACATTCTTGGGTTGTTGATTCTGGTGCTACTGATCATATGGCTTGTTGTGCTGACCCATTTGTTTCTTATAACCCTACCATTGGCACTCATATGATAGCCGTAGCTGATGGTTCACATACATCAGTTGCGGGTTCTGGTAACATAAAATTACAGTCTTCCTTACATCTCAAAGATGCTCTTCATGTTCCTAAACTTTCTACTAATCTTCTTTCTATTCATAAAATCACAAAAGATTTAAATTGCACTGTAACCTTTTTTCCTACTCACTGTGTTTTTCAGGATCTCACCACGGGGAAGACGGTTGGGGCTGCTAAAGAGCAAGGTGGGCTGTACAATCTGGTAGGGGTGTTCATCAACCGATTCAAACTGCGGAAACCGAGCCGAAAAACCGATAACCGAAAAATCGAAAACCGAAAAAAAATCACAAATTTTAATTGAATTGGATCGGTTTTCGGATGGGTTGATGAAAACCGATCCAATCCAAACCGACCCAATATATTAATTCTCCTCTACCTACTTGGTCCTTTTCTCAATCATAGCCCAAAAATTTCTAAACCCAAGACCCATTAACTCATCAACTAAATCCAAGAAAAAACTTAGTCACGTCTCATTGACTATATTATTGTTTACTGATATTTTTGTATTTCAATTTTTTTTTTAACATAGCCAATATATACAAAAGATGTTATTTGCACAATAATCATGAAACTAATTTTAGGATATTCAAAAAACCGAAAACCGATCCAATCCAAACCGAAAAAAATTGGATTGGATCGGATCGGATTTGAAAAAAAATCTAAACCGAATGGATGATTACATGATCAAATCGAAGGGATAGATCGGATGAGTTTTGCTTCCAAAACCGATCCAATCCAGACCGCGAACACCCCTACAATCTGATGTCGCAATCTCCCGCAACTCATGTTAAGGATCACATCTTGCTGTCACATGGCCAGTCAACTGCTGATTCTCTGATTTGGCTTCATCATAAGCGCTTGGGACATCCTCCGTTTAGTTTACTCAAGTCTTTATTTCCGTCATTGTTTTTGTCTAAGTCTGTTGAGTCTTTTCATTGTGATGTTTGTGAGTTTGCTAAGCTTTATCGTGTGTCTTTTCCTTCTAGTTTTATTAAAAGTGTTGAACCTTTTGATCTTATTCATTCTGATGTTTGGTGTCCTTCTAAGGTCCATCATTCTTCTGGTAATAAATGGTTTGTTTCTTTTATTGATGATTGCACTCGTGTAACTTCGGTTTACTTAATGCGTGAAAAGTCTGAGGTACCACAACTGTTCTTTCAATTTTATAAAATGATTGAGACTCAATTTGGTAAAAAAAATCAAAAGACTAAGGACAGATAATGGTACTGAATATGTTAATCACTCTTTTTCCCAATTCATACGAAGTCAAGGTATGATTCATGAACTTATTTGTGTAGACACCCCTCAACAAAATGGGGTTGCTGAAAGAAAGAATCGTCACCTTCTTGAAGTTGCTTGTGCCTTACTATTTCAAACACATGTACCCAAATGCTATTGGGGAGATGTCATTCTTACTGCAGCGTTCTTGATCAACCGTCTACCCACTCGGGTTCTCGATAATGTAAGTCTTATTCACTCCATGACTTCTTTTTTTCCTTCTGTTCCAACTTTGCAAAGTCTTCTTCCTCGAGTGTTTGGGTGTGTTGTCTTTGTTCATGTTCATAAACAGCATCGCAGTAAGTTAGATCCTAGGGCTCTTAAATGTGTTTTCCTTTGTTATGCTCCGGATAAGAAGGGATACAAGTGCTATCACCCTAGCAGTCGGAAATCTTTTGTCTCTATGGATTTTACGTTTCAGGAATCTGAGTCCTTTTTCAAAGATCCTCATCTTCAGGGGGAGAATACTTCACTAGACAACTCATCACCGTCCTTCTTTGAGTTTGAATCTTCAGTGTCTACTCCTTCACCTCCTCCTCTTGTTTCTGTTCCTTCTGTGTTAGTGTCTAATCCTCCTGTGACTAATCCATCAAGTACACCAGAGATACGGAAGATTGTGACACCTGAGTTGGTATATCATAGAAGGAAACAACCCACATTGCCTCACCAGCAACCTCAATCGTCTGAACCACTGGTAAGTCCTGCATCTCATATTTCTGATCATGATGTTAATACTTCTGATGACTTACCCATTACTACTGATTCTGATGATTTACCCATTTCTCTAAGAAAAGGAAAAAGATCTTGTTCCAAGAAATCTTGTTCCTCATGTCCCTCTTGTACTCAATACCCTATCTCCCATTTTATTTCCTCTACTAACCTTTCTGTGCAGCACTAAAGCTTTGTTTCAGCACTAGATTCTACTTCAATCCCAAAATCAGTACATGAAGCTTTGAAAGATGGGAATTGGGCTCAAGCCATGCAAGAGGAGATGAATGCTTTGGAGAAAAATAAAACATGAGAGGTTATTGATAGACCCAACGGAAAGAAAGCAATAGGGTGCATATGAGTTTATGCCCTGAAATATAATTCTGATGGCATTCTTGAGAGATACAAGGCTCGATTAGTTGCCAAATGTTACACTCAAACCTATGGCATTGATTATGAGGAAACCTTTGCTCCAGTTGCAAAGATGAATACGGCGAGAATCTTGTTATCCCTTGCTGCCCATTACAATTGGGATATAAATCAATTTGATGTGAAAAATGCTTTCCTCAATGGTGAGTTAGAAGAAGAAGTCTACCTGGAAATCCCGCCTGGTTTTGATTCTGTGAAGGGGGAAAATAAAGTTTGTAGATTAAAAAAGGCCTTGTATGAATTGAAGCAGTCACCTCGTGCTTGGTTTGGAAGGTTTACTAAGGTTATGATGACCTTAGGATACAGACAGAGTCAAGGAGATCACACTCTTTTCTTCAAGCACTCCCAAGATGGGAAACTTACTGTGCTCCTTGTATATGTTGATGATATTATTATCACAGGTGATGATTTTGTGGAGAGACAGATTCTGCAAACACGGCTTGCCTCTGAGTTTGAAGTCAAAGACCTTGGGAAACTGAGATATTTCCTAGGGATAGAAGTAGCTCATTCAAGCAAAGGAATTTTTATCAGCCAGAGGAAATATGTTCTTGATCTTCTCAAAGAAGCAGGAAAGCTCGAGTGTAAACCCTCTAATACTCCTATTGAGCAGAATCACAAGATGAGCTATGAAGAAGAGAGTCCTCCAGTTGATAAAGGACAATATCAACGGCTAGTTGGGAAATTGATATATCTGGCCCATACTAGACCAGACTTAGCTTATGCTGTTAGTGTTGTCAGTCAGTTTATGCATGATCCAAAGGAGAAACACATGCAGGCAATAGAGAGAATTCTTCAGTATCTTAAAGCTACTCCTGGTAAAGGACTGTTATTCCGACGAGATGGCAATCTCTCTTTAGAAGTCTACACTGATGCTGATTATGCTGGATCTGTGACGGACCGTCGTTCTAGCATTGGTCATTGTATGTTTCTTTGTGGTAACTTGGTGACATGGAGAAGTAAGAAACAAGATGTGGTTGTCAGATCAAGTGCAGAGGTTGAATTTCGAGCCATGGCTCAAGACATTTGTGAGTTACTATGGCTGAAAATTATACTTGATGATCTCAAAATAAAATGTGAGGGACCAATGAAGCTGCTATGTGATAATAAGTCAGCTATTTGTATAGCTTATAATCCGGTTCAACATGATCAGACTAAACATATTGAGGTCGACCGCCATTTCATCAAAGAGAAACTTGATAGCGGGTTGATTACCACACCCTACATTCCCACTGGGCGTCAATTAGCTGATGCATTGACAAAGGGACTTCCTTCAAATAGATTTCAAGAGCTTACTAGCAAGCTGAGAATGATAAATATCTATTCCTCAGCTTGAGGGGGAGTGTTGTAAATATTAATATTTTTTATTTATTTGTTATTTGTTGTATTGGGCTTAGTCCATTAGGTCAAGTATTCTAGGTCTTGTATTCTCTATAAATAGAGAACCTTTGTATAGATTATTCACACAATTTAATAATATTTGATAACCCTTTTTCAAGTGTAAGATATATGCATATGCATTTGTTGGCCTCATTACCGTGTGTGTCAAGCTAAGGAGTTCTGGAACATCAAGTTCTGGAAATGGAAATAATGTTTTGAAGAAATATAAGGTTTGAAAAATTGAAACTACAAAGAAATGAAGTTGAAACTTTTATTACAGCCATGCCTTGATATTTAAGAATTAAGATGCCTCGGTGTCTCCTCTCTTATAAATTTAGAGGATGAAGAGAATGTTTTGTTCATGTGTTAAAAAAATATAATATAAAACCATTAATATAGCATTCACCTAATAGTTTAAGTTTTTGGATTGAATTGATTTTTTACCTAATATCAGTGCCTCTATGACTAAGTTGCCACAAGTCCGATCCTCACAACCTCCATTCTATTAATAAATAATTAAATATTTTGTTGTTTCTTAGCACATATAGATGAGATTGTGCATTAACCACCCTTCAAGCCTTATGTGAGGGGTTGTTTTAAAAAATATAATTAAAATCATTAATATAGCCTTCACCTAAGACTAAGAGCTTAGACTTTTGGGTTGAATTGGTTCTTTACATCACATAAATTCTCAGCTGACCTAATAATATATTCTTTGTGATTCTACGTGCCACCTTGTACATGATTGCTGGGATTCGTTTATTCCATCATTAATGAATAAGTTAGGATCTTGGAAGTTTCAACATCATGATCTATGTTGCTATGGTATCAGGTTTTTGGGATGGACAAGAGATACTGGTTCATCCCTGCTTATTCAGAAGAAGATATACGAAGAATACCAGCTCTTCAGGGTCTTGAGTATCCATCAAAACCTGACTTCGACTCCCAGTAGTTCAGAGAGCTATTATTGCTACATCAGGATAAACTGCTTTGACCATTGTAACAGAAAACATGGAGCCTCCAAAACCCTCTATTTTCAGTCTCTAGGGGAATCTATAGCATGTAAGTAATCTATGCTCCCAGTGTTGTTGTTTTTTTTTTTTTTTTGAGAGGGGTGCTTGTACCAAGTTCAAATGAAGGCGAGTAATGAAGCTTTGACCAGTTAATGTGTTCAAATTCCTGATCAGGGTTAGGAATTGTAGGATAAGGAATTTTCTCCTATTAAACCTTCACTGGTCATACATACACTGATGTTTCTATGAATGATTGTTGATTGAAGTTTTGCAATTAACTTTTCCTTGTATAGAAAATGCTTAAATGTAATACTATTACATTCTTGTAATTATCTTCTGTTCACGTGTTATTTACCCCAATGTGTAACCTTTCTTAAGATGCCTCTATCACTCTCCTTTTTTTCCCCAAACAAGAAACTCCCAAGAAGAAAGAATTGCACCTTTCGTTACAATGATCACTTTCAAGTGTGCAAAACAATGCGTATATAGAGGACAAAAGAACTCACTCTATTTGCTGGTAGTTTCAAGTCTTGTCATCCTTTTCACCAGTTACCAAACATGATCAAGAACAACTAAACCTCAAATTTGGAACAATTGCTAAAATGGTACGATTAAAGGAGTAAACAAGTACTTTGGTGTTTTACCATGGTTTAATTCCAATATTAGAAGATATGCTATCATTTTATAAATGTGTTAATTATAATGGTGTTGAAAACATAATTAAAAGCTGTTAAATGTTTTTAATATATCTGTTCACTATTGAAAGTTTAGTTAAAAGTTTGTGTTGGCACATATATGGAATTTCCTCAAAAGGTAAATAACTAAATATTTAATAGGAAAAAAATTACACTCATCGTTTTTGAATTTATCACTTATTATAACCAACACCCTTTACTTAGAAAATAACACCGCCATCCTCCCTTAGTTTATTTGCTCTTCCAATTTTCAGCCTTGTAGCTAACATCCCATTTAAAAAACTAACGAGTCATTAATAAAGTGCATTGCATGTGATATTAATGGTCTAGGCATTTCCTTCCTTGCACGAAATGACTATTTTTCTCGTCTAGGTTGGCTCACAACATATAATACACTGTAATGAGTATTGACCACCAACACTAGTTCACATGAGAAAAATTAGTATCATGTTATAAATAAGGGATATCATGTGTAATTAACATTAACTTATGTGACCGTACTTTAATAGGAAATTTTTTATATAACTTTATCACGTGAAAATTTTATGTCAATCTTTTAATATTGTTTCACAAATAGTACAGTTCTCCTTATCTAATATCTGTTATAACTGGTGTAGTTTAGTTGACAATATAAGTTGGATAGATAAGAAAAAAATTTGAATTCGATTTCCATCAAATACATCTTTGTAAAGTGATAAAAAATTTCAACGGTGATGAGTCCTGACCTCAAAGAGATAATTTCGGTCGGTATAAAAAAATATCTATCAGGAATGATAAATACAAATTTTTTAAACTTTTCAATATTTATAACAGAAATAGATTCAAAATTTTCTCATTGAAATAGAAAAGGAGATAATCACAAAATTTCCAAATTACAACTTTGCAAGATAAGAGTTCTAACTCATAATATTGGATGATTTTCTTAACCACTTAATTTAAAAGTTTGTTTACCATATTAAGTCGGGACTAAAACCAGTTAGTTGTATACCTCTTGATTTAATAATAATAGTAATAGGGGATGATTATAATTATTGTTATTTTAGGCTTACTATTTTTATTATGATTGATTATTGTTGGATTAATTTGAAATTAACAGTTAAAAAATGAAGAAGAAAAAATAATTGTTGTTAATTTTAAATTAATCCAATAATAATTAATCAGGTAATAAAAATAATAAAGCTAAAATAATAATAAATATAGTATAAACTTTCCCTAATACTAATAATAATAATAATAATAATGGAAAAGTTCACCAATGAATTTGTGGTTTACTTCAGAATCATTTATGTCCCTGTGATTTTTTTCTTATCACATATGCTCCTGTGGTTTGTAAAAGGATATTTTTTTTATCACATATACTCATGTGGTTTATTATTTTTTACAAAGCACAAGAGTATATGTGATAGGACAAAAATCACAGCGACATAAATAATTCTGAAGCAAACCACAGAACATTGATAACCTTTTCCCTAATAATAATAATAATAATAATGTAGTATTTCCACCACTAGATCCATTTATGCAAATGAAGCATGTAGAGGAGCGTAAGATGCCGCTGAACTAACTTCCTCAGTCGGCGGTTGATTGGAGTCCAAATTCAATACAAATATAAATTAAAAGAAAGAAAAAATTTAGTTATCATTAAACAAAAAAACAAAAAATAAAAAAAAAGCGCAAAAAGTAGAGTGAGATAGAGAGAGATCTATACACACACTGAGAAAGAAAGAGAGAGATAGAGAGAGAGAGAAGAAAGACGGAAAAAAGATGAAGAGCGGTGCCGCGGGTGGTGCGGTTCCTTCGTACGGCGTCTCCGCCAAACGACGATGGAGAGGGTTCGTAATTGCGGTGCTTGGCCTCGTCATTCTCTCCATGCTCGTCCCTCTCGTCTTTTTGCTTGGCCTTCACAACGGATTCCACTCTTCCGGTAACCAACAACTCCTCTCTTCACTCCCTTCTTACCTTTGATCTCTGAGATCTGTTACTTTCTCACTCTTAAATTGCAATAATGCACTTTCATTGCTACCGCATTCTCCATTCCCAAGAGATCCGCATCAATAACACCTCTGATTTCTCTCTTCTCGCACTATGCGTCATTTACATTAAATCAATACACTCTAGATCCAACCTTTTCTTATACTAGACAAAAAAACTGCATCGCGGAATCTTCACAGGTTTTAAATCAATGAATCAATTTTTATTTATTTATTTTTCAATTCGTTTTATAACTTCAAGCTCAAAACTGTTTGAAGCCGTTAATTTTGCCGTCTCTGAAAGATCTGTTCGTCAAAAAATAATAATAATTATAAGAAGAAGAAGAAGAAGAACATATTTATGATGGAAAAGTTAAATGCACGTATACTTTGGAATGCAAAAACCTCACGGGACGTACAATCGATGGCTCAATTTTTGTTTCTTGAGTTGTGAGTGTAATGATTGATGAATTAATGTCATCCAATTTAAGTGCTGTGAAGAATATGTGTTCCACTTTTTTTTCTTTCTTTTTTGTGCTGATAACTATTCCCTATTTATAATTATATATCTGTAATGTATTAGAATTCAAGACTTTATGTCTCGTGCTTTGGATATATTTATGCATATTTATTAGCAGTAATCATAATTGTGCCTTGATTTATTATTGTTTTATTTTTTCTAACTCTTGAACTCCATTTATGGTTGTGTTTTTGCAGGATATATATATGAACAGAGAAGCTCTCCTTCGGTAAGCATTCAATTCAACTGTATCTGTGAACCTATTAATTTTTTTTTCCACCATCTCAATGTATTATTATTATGTTGATGTCGCTGTTTTTGTTTTCCCCCCTTCTCTTCTGTTCTTTTCCAAATCAGAATCAGAAGGGTGTTGAAAGATATGATAGACGTGATGTCAGCCATAACAAGAATTGGTCTGAGGTATGGTGGTTTCCCCCCTCCCCAAGCTATTTTTAGCTGTCAATTTCTTCTAGCATTCTTCTGTGGAATATTGTTGGTCACAGTAACCTCACTGCTTTAGTTGTGGTCAAGAAGTTACAGTTGTCTCCATCTATAGAAGCAAATAAAAATCGTACAGTGATTTGTCATTTTTTAAATAGTCAAACAGGTGAATGCTTTTCAAATTTCAATTGGCATGCGTAAGTATTTATGGGATATTCTCATAATGTGGAAAAATGGGCAAACAATAAATCTTTTTATCAGGGTATCAATAATAAATTCCAAAAGGAACGTATAGCTGGAGCATGAACCTGATAGAATTTTTAACGCAAACATCCAATGACTTAAATTTCATCCCCCAAAACCCTGAATTAGTGTTGTCTTTTTTGCAGGGAGAACAATCAAGTCATGTAAAGGAACTGATCACAAAGTTCGAACCAACTCTTCCAAAGGTTCTCTGCATAATACTCTGGTGGTTAATTTTTATACTTCTTTATTTAGAAATTTGTTTGATAAAATCTTTTATTTATAAATTACAGATTCTTTCATATCTTTAACTGAGGAACGAAAATGTATTTTTTTATTCTTGCCTACTGTAATTGAAAAGAAAACTTAAAAGCAAGTCATGTTTCTGAAACTATCATCATGTAAGGTTTTTGGTTCCATGTCAACCTTAATATCTCATGTGTAGAAGGGTCCATTTGATTTAGATTTTCATATAATTGGTGTTGAAAGAATTAATTTTGAAAATATTGATGTTAAAGAAATCGTTTTGTGTTTGGAATGATGTTTTAAAAGTGATTTTAGAAGAATTGATTTTTTTGGATGGTAAAATAGAATCACTTTTTAAGTGTGAATATAGGTATGTTTTTAAAAAATTTATAGGTCCCTCACCTAGAATCAATTCTACTGCCTGCAAAATTGGTTTGAGAACCCAAAAAATTAACCAAACACCCAGTGTTACTGTGCAATCCAAATTTTCTGGCTGCAAACACGAGTCTGCGATTAAAAAAACAAGCCATAAGATGTTGAGGTTTTTAGTTTTTACTATAGTAAAAGAAACTTAAAAGAAAGAAATCGAGAAAAGTACAGGTGAAAAGAGGATAAGAAATCCTCCAAAACAAAAATTGGTAAATATGTAAGAGAACAAAAGAATATTGAAAATGTTTCAAAACCTGCTTAAGCAATTGGCAGCTCCTCTTAAACAGCCATCAGCAGAATACCAAGTACATAATTCTATCCCGTAGTTGACAGATATAGATACAAACCTATCCTAACCTTACCAAATGCACCAAAGAACTGCATAAGCTGCACATTGCCACAAAATGGTTGCCTCCTCTCTTTTTTTTTACCAAAGCCTTTGTACCTAACCATTAGAAATTGTTCCATAGAACACACCCAATGCACACTGAAATTCCCAAATAAATTCTTCCATTAAAAGTGGCCACCTATGCAAGAGCTGGTGCCCAAAATAAAGTCTAATGACTTTAGTTTTAAAAGTTTTAAGGTTTGTTTTAATATATTTTTTTCTTATCGGGGTGGATTAATAACATCAGAACCAGGTAGGTTTTAGAAGGTCTTTGGACAAGTAAAATATACATCTTATTATTTACAAAAATAAAAATAAAAATATACATCTTATTGACTAGATTTTAACATGATCTGATCCTTTTTCTTTTTCCTCTTTGTGTTCACTTCTATGGCAATGTTCGGGGATTTCATCTCTTGTTCAGTGTATTTAGATACTACTGCAGTTTATATTTGCAGCACTTCGTCTCATTTACCAGTGAAGGAACCAAAATTTTGTACTTTCATGTCTTCAAATGAAACTCATGGTATTTACAGTTAACAACTGATGTTTTCTAATGTTCCATTGAAATCGTGGATTTCTCTCTGCATTTGAAGGAGCAATCAGATTTTTTTCAAAGATCAGTTTAGTTTAGCTCTTATTTTATTTTTCTTTCTCTTAAGTTACGATTTTGTTTCCATTTGGATATCAATTAAGTTGTAGTTATTTGCCAAATATCGATTTAATAAGTATATCTTGTTCAACTCCTGGCTTTTGTCTTTTTGAAGTACTTTCATATTTCAACTTTTAAGTTTTTTTTTTGTTTTTTTTTTTTTCATGAGACATGGATTGTGCTTGTATTTTAGTTCTTTTATGTTGAAGTATATCTTTAGTGATTTGCATAAAATCACTTCAGCTTACCGGAGGCTGTCATCATTACTCAGTCAAATGTTGGGTGTTAAGAATGCTTCGTTCATTTCTAACAATTATTTTTAGGGCTTTGAATTTGAGAATTTTGCAATATGATTTGTTCCTTCTCTGGACCTCCATGTCCAATGGCTGGAACCGCGGATGTTAGTGAAGCTACCTTTCTATTTTTTCAATTGTTTATAAACCTTTTAAACTGTGATGTCCATCCTTTGGCAAGTTTGTTTTGCTTTATTACTATTTTTGAACATGATCAAGATATAGAGAATGCGATAAAATATTATTAGTTAAATGTTATTATCTTTATCTTGGATACAATTTATAGGTTTTAATTTGGTTATATAAAAGTATAAATTATAAACTAGTACTAGTAGTTTGTATAATTGAGGATACATCATAATTATGGTTAAATTATTATTCGGCTTTCCTATGATTATTAGATTCAGTTTAATAGGGATTTATATTTTAAATTTTATTTTGGTGTCTTTATTTCTGTGTCAGGATTTAGATTGACATCGAAAAATTATGGTGAGGCATAGCAATTTTGGACTTCCATAGAATTAGATGAATTAATTATTGAATTTAGTGATATTGAAGTCGCCCTTCTGTCTTCCTTCCTTCCTCGAGTCTCCTTCAATCTTTTAGACTGCTAGTTCCATATCAACAAGACTCATTTATCCCTGGATTACAATTCTTTTGTATGATTGGGGTATAAATGTACTGATTTGTCTAAAATTATAAGGAAAGAAAGATTAGAAAGGTCAAGGAGGTTCGGAACCCTCCTTTAACATGGAACTGAAAGGGGACTTGGGGGGTGGGGGTGGGGGCTCTGCATCATACGCATCTAGAATTTATGTGGCAATACAATATTATTAATTAGCAATAATAATTGCCTGTCAGGATGTTATCAAGAATTATTCTCGAGGAGATAAGAATGGCACCATCAATAAGGGCACCAGTGATGTTAAACAAAAAGGTTATTTTACTGATTTGATTTCATGGATTGAGTGCTCACGTGATAGCTTCTTGTTTCTCATTTCCTTCTTTCTTCTGTTTTTAATTTTAAATAATTTTCAGGTTTCAAGGCGCCAACTAAGCCACCTAATGGTGTTCTGCAATCACCTCCGGCTTCAAATGTATGCGTGCATTACTGTCATTTGTTGAACGCATTAATTAAATAATTGCTCAGAATAGTTTAGTTCATAACATTGATTCAGACCCAATTTATGCTAATAATCTAAAGCACAAATCTTGTATAACTAGTGTAATCCTAACCCAATAACATTCACGGCATGCTAACATAATATAGTTATAGACATGGTGATCCCTGACCCTCGAGTAGTAAACCAGGAACCAGAAAACCAAGAAAACATCAAGTTCTAAAACAACCCAAACCATCTAAACTTAAGAACCTAAGCAGCTAGCACCCCCATAATATCAAAACCTGTGCCAACGTCCTTGGCAGATACCTCCTAGTTGTCTTCAACGTTTCTGCTCAATAGCCTCCTCAACCCCAACTGGTCTCCACAACACTAGGTTGCATACGACCTAGTAACACAGCTCTCTGCTCTTAAAAAACCTGCCACTCACATCCAAAAACCCTGTGCTTTAACACAGGATCAGTGATCAACGCCAAACAGCCCATGCAGACTAAATCTACATTAGTCAGAGCCAAAATCACCTGCTCAACCCATGACTCCTCAGGTCACCCTTGTCTATGCCACAGTTCTCCTGACCATGAACGGTCAGCATTCAGTATGACCCTTGGATACACATGAAACCCCAAGAAAGAGGTTGAAAAGCCCTTCTGCAGGTCCATAAAAATGTATCAATTGCAAAGGGGACATAATAGATCACTTAGCTCTGAGCAACAATTTTGATTTTTGCTGCACTACAGCAGTACGCACAGTAATGCACCCGGTGGATTGAATAGTAACTTAACAAATCAATACTGGGAAAGGGTTGAACTGGGTCTAAACAGCAGTGATGGAAAAAAAAGGGAGGCAGATGCTATAAAGCTCCTGATGTACGGGGTCCAGGAAAAGGTCAGACCCATTGTGTGGGTTTTTAGTAGGCTGTCTTTTCTTGCATTTGCAAGAGGTTGATTATAGGAGTCGAATTTGTGATCTCTGGATCACACGGTGACAGCACCATTCGTTGTGCCAAGTTCCCCTTTGATGGGAAAAAAAAGGAATCTGAAAGGTGAAGATGAGAAAGACATTACAGTTTTATAAGAGAGAATTCCAGAGTTGGGAACTCTGCACATTGGAAGGGAGGACACAGATCATGGCGTAGAAAACCGTGTTGAAACAGTCATATTGCTCAAAATATAGTTTAATTCATGACACTGGCTTAGACCCCCTATATGTATATTAATAATATAGGCCAAGTATTAATGTAGTACAACTAATGAAGGACAGTACAATAACACTCGCAGGCCCATAGTTTAATAACACTGTATAAAGTATATAACTTAACACAACAATACTCTCTAGCAAACTTCTTTACAAGCTTGTTTATAGTGACATTCAATGTAGCTAGTAGCTACTTGAACTAATTTAAATTTTGCAACAGAATCCTAGAAGTGGTCATGTTGAACAAGTTACCGACCTTAAAAAAAGCTCTGCCGATGAAAGTGTAAAGTCTTGCGAGCTCACATTTGGTAGTTATTGCTTATGGCAAAAAGAACATAGAGAAGAAATGAAAGATGCGATGATTAAGAAATTGAAAGACCAACTATTTGTGGCTAGAGCTTATTATCCTAGCATTGCAAAACTCCCAGCACAAGACAAATTGTCTCGCCAACTGAAACAGAATATACAAGAGCTGGAGCATGTGCTTAGTGAAGCTACTACAGATGCTGATCTTCCACCACTGTAAGCTGATATTCTTATATATATTTTTCTTTTAACCCTAGCTTAATTATTCGAGTTGCATATAGCTTGGGCTGTTATTGGAATCTGATAGTTGCACTGGACATAATCTCATCTTCAATTAAGTAGTCAAATAAAAAAAATATTGATTTTCAGCTTTTATATCTGCTTGCAGATCAAGATTTTTGTATTTTTCTTGAACCTGAAATATTTTCCCATTTCCAGACATCAGGGCTCTTGAAGTAGTTCAGTTAGTTTCTTACTGAAGTGACTTATATTTATTCCTATTAGCTTCTACTATATCTTTGTCTATATCTTCTGTTGAAATATATAAAACTATTAATGTAGCCTCACCCAACAGCTTAAACTTTTGGGTTGAATTGGTTCTTTACATGGTATCAGAGCTTCGTCGCCCCCCACTTTCTCTTGTGGCGTTTCTTAGCACAGGTAGGCTGGGCCTGTTGCATTGTCCACTCTTCAAGCCCAATGGGCTCTCGTGTGAGGGGGCGTGTTGAGATATATAGTCCCACATTGGTTGTATGTGCAACTAATGTGGAGTTTATAAGGTCTTGGGCACTCCCACCCTTTGAGCTAGCTTTTGGAGTGGTGTATCCCAAGGTTCTTTACATGGTATCAGAGCCTCGTGTCCTGGGTTCGATCCTCGCCGCCCACCACTTTCTTTCAAGTGGAATTTCTTTGTTCGCACAGGTAGGTGGGCCTGTGCATTGTCCACCCTTCAAGCCCAGTGGGCTCTCGTGTGAGGGAGCGTGTTGAAATATATAAAACCATTAATGTAGCCTCACCCAACAGCTTAAGCTTTTGGGTTGAATTGGTTCTTTACATCTTCTATTCTACTTACTCGTTTTTAGCACCATCTGTGGTTCACTGGACCATTGCTGGGATAATAGGTTATTCTGCAAAACCTAGCTTTATCTTTCTATTTTATCTCAACTTTGTTCTATAGTTGGGTTTAATCATTTCTTTTCTTTCACCTCAAACCCAAAGCTATTGTTGTGATCCTTTCCTTTCATGATTGTCATGAACTAACTGTCCCAAAAGCTTGAGTTGTTGGGCGTAAGTGCTTGAATTATTCTATTAGATCTCTTAACACGCCTCCTCATCCAAGTGTCCTTTGGGATTGAAGCATGGGAAATATACTAGCTCATTGTTACCATGCTGTGAAATTAAACTTTTATTTGGAAGAATGGGGTAGCAAGGATCTAATTTATGACCATTTGGTGAAGGAGGCGCTATTATCATGTTATGAATCCTACCCTCACAAAAACTTAAGCTATTGGGTGTAAACACATGAATGATTTTATTAAATCTCTTAACAAGGATTGGGTACATCTGTCTTTTCCCTCTTTTTCTCATTGAAATGCAGTAATAGTTCACAAGAAATTTTACATGGTAATCAAAATTATTTTTTCAGGATTGAGAAATATTCGCAGAAGATGGAAGGTCAAATAGCCAAAGCTAAATCAGTCACTGTTGATTGCAATAATGTTGACAAGAAATTGAGACAAATATTTGATTTGACTGAGGATGAAGCTGACTTCCACATGAAACAGAGTGCATTCCTGTATAAACTTAATGTTCAGACAATGCCGAAGAGTCATCACTGCCTGTCACTGAAACTAACTGTAGAATATTTCAAATCTTCACATTATGAAGAAAAGGCTGATGCAGAAAAGTTTATCGATTCTTCATTGCACCATTTTGTTATTTTGTCTAATAATGTGCTTGCGGCATCAGTGGTCATCAACAGCACTGTAATTCATGCAAAAGTATGTTATGTTTCTAGTCATGCACCATTGAATCATAGAGGTTAAATTTTAGAAGCTATAATAATAATTTCACTTGTTGCTGTACGATATTTCAGGAAAGTTCAAATCAAGTTTTTCATGTGCTGACTGATGGACAAAATTATTATGCAATGAAGCTCTGGTTCTTGAGGAACAGCTATAAGGAAGCTGCCGTTCAAGTGTTGAACATTGAGCACCTTGACCTAGACAGCCAAAAGGGGAATCCATTGCATTTGTCCTTGACTGAGGAGTTCCGTGTTTCGATTCATGGTTTTGTTAATCCATCCATTAGCCAGATTAGAACAGAATACATTTCAATTTTTTCTCATTCACACTATCTACTTCCTGATATATTCAGCAATTTAAAGAAAGTTGTGGTTCTTGATGACGATGTTGTTATTCAGCAAGACTTGTCAGCCCTGTGGAACCTAGACTTGGAAGGAAAAGTTAATGGTGCAGTGCAATTCTGCTCAGTAAAGCTGGGTCAGCTAAAAAGTTATCTGGGTGAGAAAGGTTTCAGTCATAATTCTTGTGCTTGGATGTCGGGGTTGAACATAATTGACCTAGCCAGGTGGAGAGAGCTTGGTCTTACTCAAACTTACAAACAGTTGATAAAAGAGGTAAGTGACTTGATTCACTAAGTTTGCAATGAAATATTTTCGGGAATAGCAGGTTTTAATAGTCTTGTTGAATATAGAGTAGTAATAGGGTGTCAAATTAGGTTGACCCCAATGGACTAGCCCGAATAACCCAACTACTTTGAGTAGGTTAGACCAACAAAACTGACATTTAAATTTATTTTGCGACCCAATGCAAGCTGGCCTGATTTGTCTCAGCCCAACGCGGCTCAACTCGCATACTCCAAAAATTTCAAAATCAACTAGTTTCCAAGAATTAGTCTCTCTCTTTTCAAGTTTATGAAATGTCATTGTATATCAACATATATCCATTTTAAGTAACAATTGATTGAAATCTTTCAATACAGATTTATCAAAAAAAATATGGAAATTGACAATTTTTAGAATTGAATAATAAGAATAAAAAATGGAAATGTGGTGAATAGCCTGCATCCTGCATAGAACTGAGTTGGGCTAACAATTTACTAATCCACATTAAATTTTTGCCCAAATGTGCCTTGCCAGCCCAAACTGACACTAGTTGCAAGTAGTAGTATTTAAAAACCACTCCCTATAAAATCCCGAGTTGGAAGGGTAAGGGTGAGAAAAAAATTTGTAAGCAACCTCTTGAGATAGTTTAATTGCGTATAGGAAATGCATGTTTCTCATTTCTTTCTTAGTTTATTCTTAAGTACTATTGATTGGACTTGGATGAGTTGGATTTATTATTCGGCCTTACCCTCCCTGTGGGTTTCTTTCTTTTTCTTTTTCGTTAATTGTTGGGAGTTTCTTTTGGGGAAGGGACAAGTCCTTTACATTTAGATGGGTCATATTTTGCCTGGTCAGCATAAAAAAAAAAAAAACACTCCCCGTTAAACCCGACTAGCGAGTGTGGGGTGAAGGAAATCCTTGTACGCAGCCTTACCCTTGCATAATTGCAAAGAGGCTGTTTCTTGGATTCGAACCCATGACCTTTCAATCATGAAGGAACAGTTGTACCACTGTTCCGGTTCGCCCCCTAATAAGGATGCTGTTAATTTGTATGCTGTATTGTCTTTAACGAAGAAGGTTGTTTTATTTCCTCAGCTATTTATATTTTCTGATTTTGTATAATACCTTATGTAGTTGAGCTTAAGAGAAGGATCCACTGAAGCTATTGCATGGCGTGCAAGCTTGCTCGCCTTTGAGAATAAAATATATCCACTCGATGAGTCATGGGTTCTGTCTGGAATGGGTCATGAGTACAGAATTGATACTCAAGCCATTAAAACGGCTCCAGTGCTACACTACAATGGGAATATGAAACCTTGGCTAGATCTGGGAATTCCAAAGTACAAAAGTTATTGGAAGAAGTTTCTGAACAAAGAAGATCAGCTCTTAAGTGAGTGCAATGTATATTCATAATAAGCTACGATCCCTGTATAAGCTTGCTTATTTTGGCAATTGTTGGGGTAATCTCTTAAGAAGCAAGAAGAGGATGCCTGTGCTCTGGGTGCTCAAAATCTTCCGATCTAGTTTTCGAAGGGGTTTTGTGGAAGAATTGATATTGTTGATGAGCTTAACACACCAGTTAAAAAATTAATCAGTCAATAAGGAACCTGGCAACTTAACTGCATTTCTGGCAAAAGCATTAAGAAGCCTGAGTACCTTCACAGTTTTCAAGATAGCTAATTGGTGTTGAGGTTTTCCCCACTTTGCAGTATGAAGAGTTATACAATCGAGGCAGTGGTCAATGAAAAATAACTCAAATATAAAGACAGTGCAATTTTATTTTATTTTCAAGATTTTATTATCCTACATGATGTAAATTATTCGTAGCTGGGAAAAAAATAGAATTATTCCTCCTAGTTCTTTGGATTCATTATCTGCTCAATGTTTTGTTCTTATTTGATGACAAGAATGTTGTCCATCAGCTTCTATATAAGAAAAAAGAAAGTAACAATTTTGTCCTTAAGTGGAAGTTTAAGAGTTTAACAGTAACTAATACTCTTTGCAATTCGTTATAGTTTACTGCATCAGTGAAATTTGCTTTTCATTAAGAGTAGGAGCCCAGGTAGGAGAGTAGTATTAGGATGACGCAAGGCACGTTTGGCAGTCACAAACCAACTGCTATTTGGAAGGTCTTTTCGATGTGGTATGCAAAATAGTAAAAGGGGTTTCAGAGGGATGAATTAGCCATTTGGATTGGTTTTTTAAAAATGATTTTTAATGTCTTTTTCTTATAATTATTTTCTTAAAAGTTAAAGTTATTTTATCTAAAAAGTATTTGAGTAAAAAGTTAAGGATTAATCTTTCTCATATTGTAAAAGATAATTTTATATGTTAGATACATAAAAATGTGAGATTTACATGAGAGGAAAAAAAAATATAGGTCACATAATCTTTTACGTGTGTATAGTAAATAAAATTATCTTCTATAACATGAGAAACATTAATCCCAAAAAAGTACTATTGTGATTTTTTTAAGGATAGGAAAATTAAAGCAATAGGTTATATAACCGAATTTTTATAAAAGTGTGGAACTTTAAAAAAATTACATTTTATCGTTACTCATTTTAGTTTTTTTTTTATGCCTTTTCAAAAATTACATTTAAATACTCAAAGTGAAAAGTATTTACTCACCAAAAAAAAAGTGAAAAGTATTTTTATTTTGAAAAAATGAGCTTATTGAAAAAGGGTAAAAAAGTTCATTCGGGATTGAGATTACAACTTTTAATATCAAATGAAAACTTTGTATTTTGTTATAAAAAAAAAAAAAAAACTTTGTATTTGTGTCAACCTGTATATGTGTTTGTGTCAACTGAAAAGTAATTTGTAAAAATCATGTTAGGTTTGTGTCAATCTGTCTCCGTTAACTTAAGGTGATTTAAATAATTTTCATTTAAAAAATAAAACTAAAAAATTATTATTGATCATGTTGTATCATATTAATCCATATAATAAACAACCCGTGCTAGTACCGTCAATTTTGAAATGAATAGTTATTCTAATCATGCTCATGTTAAAAACATAAGTATTTGTTGTAAGCAAAATAAAAAGGGGCTTATCATTCTCAGGCTGCCGGAGAGATACAGTTATCTCCGACTACTAAATTATAACCGTATAAAGATTGATCAATGATGATAAAGGAAGAGAGAGAAAAAGAAAATTATAACCATTCAAAGGTGAATCAATACATATAAGGAAATAAATAATCAAAACGACGTAATTTTGGGTGGCCGAAGATAAATTTGTATCAAGCAGCTTGAGAAATATTTTTTCCAAATAAAAATAAAAAATAGTGTTTGTATCAATTCAATCCCGATTCGTCAACCTGAATTACCACCGAAGACTGGGATTAGATAAAAGGAATTAGAGATTGATATAATTAATAATTTAATGCAAGTAGTTCCTAGCTCAGGTTCTGCAGCACCGTTTTGGACTTTTGGGACCTGATAGAGATGTAGGTGAATGCCTACATAAAATTGTGAATATAAAAGGAAAAAGGAAAAAACGAATAAGAACAAAAAAAAAAAAAATTTAAACCACGTTCGATATATAAAATTGTGATTTTAAGAAATATAAATAGAATGAGTTGGAAAAAAATGATCGTTTTTAATATTCAATTTCATAACTTTTAAAAATAAAATGCTCTTACAAGTTATTGTTTAGATGATTACATGTAACCAATACAATGATCTAAATATCATACATTAAAAAAAAAAGTTAACTTTTTTTATATGTAGTATTTGGAATTTAACCTTTACATAATTAAATTTAAATCCTTTGACGTTATCCTTTGCAATAAGGTTCGACACTATATTACACATTGGAACACAATAGAACACTAAAATTTATCATATTGCTGATATTTCATTTGAATTGGCATAAAATATTTTTTAGAAAATTATAAGCACTGAGTCTTTTTTTCATAGGTTCGGACAAAGTTGGTTTTGCACGTTCATAATAAATTTGGATCCCTCATTATAACCAATATGAGTCACAGAAGCCTAAACTTCTGAAAAATTAACATAAAATCTCTATCTCAAGCTTTTACAACTAAATAAACATAAGTATTAATATCTTGTCTGTTAGCTTAGAGGCATAAAAGAAAGGATGCTTAGTGGCTTGTTAATCACATAAGGTACATCACATTTTATCTTACATTTGTTTGTTATGCCAACTTTGTAAAACTATTTGTGTCTCATATGTAACGTGAGTCAATTGATTTAATTAATAATAAAAGAGGCTTTATGGTAATTGACGTTTTACATTAATGGTAATTGACGTTTTGACGTTTCGCATTAATGAGAAGTTACAGGGAGTTATTTAAAACTCTGTAACTGGTGACATTGTTCAGTTACATAAAAGAAAAACTGGTGAGTCTCTGATAACAGTTCTCTCAGAATTTCTCTCCTTCATTGTCTGCCCATCATAGTTGTATCCAATCTCTGTCAAAGAAGATACAAGAAAAGCATAGGGTAAAGACTCTGAGAAACGACGTTACATCATCAAAGTTCTTCCGCACTAATGGAGAAAGGTATACTCTTATGTGAAAATCATGAATTCTAAAGATCCACTTTCATGTTCTTGAATGATTACTGATGAACATGTATTTCTAATTTATTGTGTTTAAGAATTTGTGTTTTTCCATAAATAATTATGAATGAATTCCTAATTCATGAAAAGTTAGAATTTTTTTGAGAAAATTCACTATCATCATTGAAAATAAAATAAAAGTCGATCGATATAAATTATTCGATTTTCGCGATCATCATTTGAATTTTACGTTCATATTACGGTTTGCATTTTGATTTGAAATACATATGTCAAATACTGCATTTTATGATGTCGCGAGTTCTGAAGAAAACAATTTCGAGTTGATTTTGTATTTCACAAAAGGACGAAAACGAAAAACATGAAGTCCCTTTACGTTAATATGAATTTGATGGTTTTCGTGTCATTTGCCATTCTCGGAAACGTATGCATTTGGGCGTTGAATGGAATTTCATTTGAAAATTGGTGATATTAAAGCATTTGCCATTCTCGGTTTTCGAGTTCTGAAGCAAAATTTTGATTTGGTTTTGCAATACAATTACGTCGGTTTTCAATTCAATTCAATGTGAATATTTTTAATGCCATTCAATTCAATTCGATTCTGTGTCGTTTTCCGTTCCAATTCAATGTCATTTAATGCCATTCGATTTAATGGATAAAGGTACTGTATGTAAATATATATTCTGATATTGAATGTGAAAATTGAATGATTATGTAATATTCACAGTTTTAAATTGAATAATTTTGTGATGTGGTTGGATTAAAATTAAATGTGAAAATTTAATCCTATTATTGTTTATGAAATATTAAAGTTTTAGAATTAATTATGATAGATTTGTTAGTCACCAAAGTGGCCAAATCTTGAAGAGTTATTTTAATTCCAAATATTATGAATTTTATTTCAATTACCACGACTGTGATGCTGTGAATAGTATGATATAATTATTCATGTTGTGGTATATTGAAGTTCATTATTATATGACAGTTAGGGATCAACCCAAGGTTGATTATTTGTTTTATAAAATGAACATGGATGTTGGTATTGTTGGCATATTTCCTCATATTTGGACATCCAAAGATGACAAATAATTATGATAGGGGTATGCATCATTGCCAAATTATGTGAAATTTTTATAGCATCATTATAGTTAATGTTGTATATTAATGGATCCCCAAAGGTGAACATTGATATGCATTGAAGTTAGAATGTTTGAATCTGTGAAGTATGTTAGTATGTGACATGTATGACTCAAAGCATTAATGTTTTAAATGTTATTCCTCGCAGTACCGGTTGCTACACATTCCATGTTCTCAACTGTTGCAGTTTTTAATGGGCTGAACCTCTCTGAATGGAAAGAGCAAATCCAATTTTACCTTGGGGTAATGGATATGGATATGGCTCTTAGAGAAGAGGAACCTGGTGCTATTACTCCTGAAAGCACTGAGGATGAAAGGGACCATTTTAAGAACTGGGAAAAATCCAACAGATTAAGTCTGATGTACATGAAGATGAGCATTGCAAGCAACATTAAGTCAGCTCTTCCACAAACTGAAAGTGCCATCGGAATGATGAAACTTGTGGAAGAGCGCTCCCAAACCGCAGATAAGTCTCTTGCTGGGACACTTATGAGTACACTAACCACCATGAAGTTTGATGGTTCGCGTACTATGCATGAGCATGTTATTGAAATGACAAGCATTACGGCAAAATTAAAAGCATTGGGAATGGTTGTGGATGAGAACTTCCTGGTGCAGTTCGTATTGAACTCATTACCGTCTGAGTATGGTTCTTTCCAAATGAACTATAATACCATGAAAGACAAATGGGATGTGCATGAATTGCACAGTATGTTAGTTCAGGAGGAAACCAGACTTAAGAATCAGGGAGCTCATTCTGTCAATTATGTAAAGCATCAAGAAGCTGAAAAGTATAAAGGTAGGAAGCATGAGAAGAAAGGAGGAGGAGAAGGACCCCTTAAAGTGAACGAGGCCTCTTCTTCTAAAATCCATAAGGCCAAATGAAAAGTTTGTCTTTATGGGCAATAGAGTGAAAGTTCCGGTAGAAGCGGTTGGGACGTATCGTTTAATTCTCGACAGTGGATATCATTTGGACTTATGTGAAACTTTATATGTCCCTAGTATATCTAGGAATTTAGTTTCAATTTCCAAACTTGATGTTGCTGGATTCTCTTTTAAATTTGGTAGTGGTAGTTTCAGTTTGTACAAGCACAATTATTTGATTGGTAATGGTACTTTATGTGATGGATTATATAAATTATGTCTTGATAATCTTTATGCTTAAACGCTTATGACTCTGCATCATAATGTTGGTACTAAACGTG